GTGTGTGTGTGTGCAGAGTAATCCCCCTTTTTGGTTTATCATTCAGCTTGAACAGAAATATAAAAGAAAAATGTAGACGCAAAGAAAAATGGGGATGGATCTTGATTGATAATGCGATTCCGAAATAACCAGGAAGAAAGTCATGCTTCCAGTATACCATTTAACCAGCCCTCACTCAGGCACTTGGATCGTGCAGCGATGAGGATAGGCTAACAACGATGGGGACTTAACGCTTAACGTGGTCTGCTGTTTCTGGCATGACCCACAACGTCATTATTTTGTCAGACCAGACTTCAGTGGTGATGTCATTCCTCGATAAGACCGAGCCAAACGGGCGAGGAATCATAAACAAACAAAACAAACCCTGAAATATCTCAAATTCAAGACAACCTTTGGTGATTTGAACCTTAATCACAGCCTGACGTGTGCTGACCAACAAGAATGTGATCTGCAAATGTGTCGATGTGAGGGAGGTACAGCGAGTTACTACGATAACGACTGCATTTGGCTACATAATATAACTCTGCTGTCTTCGGTTTACTCAAACATCGAGAGTGTGGTAAGGATTTAAAAAATAATGGTGGGGGGGAGGGGGAGGGGAGGGGTCGCTGTGCCACTATTTATGGGCAATTCAAGAGTGTAAGCCGACAGACGCGGAGATTAATGTGGTGGTCGCCAACAACAGGGGGAGCTGGTGTCGACAAAGGCCTAGGGTGCAAATAAAATTCAATTATTTGGAATGTACAGGTTGTGCACACATCAAGTCTTGAGTTTTGTTTCAAGCGAACGCGAACGGCGGGGAACCACCGAGCCTGCAGATTCTACCAACTTTTGTAGATCTTTGTCGCTGAAAGTTTAGCCCTTGTATAGGCTATATATACAGAGTTTGTATACATTTTTTGAGTTACATGCAAGGCGATTATTTCAATCCAACGAGTGCAACGTATAGCTATGTGAGGCTGATGACCCATATCATGACTTAACAGCCAGCAGTGCAATTTGATCAGTACAGTATTGACAGATGTGGGGATAAGACAAAGAGAGCTCATGGCCACACTCCCCATGCGCTGTGCACTATAACTGGGTGGCTTTATGGCCGAGTGGTTGGAGGGTGTCACTGGTAAGTCCTACTAGCCTTCCCTGTCTTGTCTTTTCTTGTTTGTGGTTGTGAAGTTTGTCACGTCTGACAAACAGGCTGAAGTTCTGAGTTCCAATCCGATGTAAGCTTACGGAGTTTTCCACCCAGTTCAGTGTCTTGACAAGCACAAAACGTTCCGGTGTTTTTGAGATAAAGGTTACACCTTTTGCCGTCTACCCAAAAGACATACGTTCAATGTCTACGAGGAAAGATGTACAACTTCATTCAAATCAAAGGATATACATTCTTTAGCCTACAGGCCGGATTAGCATTTACAGGGCTCTACACAGTCACCAAACTCAAATAACATACGTTGCTATTCTTTCTAGTATCACTGTTGTATGTAGAGCTATTGAATATGCCGACTGATGTGTTTGTGCTCCTCATAATTGTAAATATGTACACAAACACACTGATAAACTGTCCTTTGTTCTTTTGCATGTACAGGTTTACGCCCATGGTTTATATGCCAGTGTGGGGTTGTGGTATCTTTCATTTCCGCAGCATTCGAATATCATTAACTCACAGCTTCATATTTCCTGCCTGACTCCAGACAGAATCTACAGTCCTCATAAAAATACCGCTATAAAAAACAAACAAACAACAGCAACAGCAATAGCAACAGCAATAAACAGACACACAAACAAACGCACACAGAAACAAAACAAACAAACAACAACAAACAAACACAACCTCCACCCCCCTCCAAGATTATGTAGGATTAGGACACGGAGTTGTGTGTTTCCGGTCTGGCACACGTTATCTGCACCTCCTGTTCTTCGTTAAAAATAGCTAAGGGGGTAGCGGTTAAATTCACAGGCGCTCGCATGCGCATAGAAACCAGCACACACAAACACACACACACACACATATACACACACACACACACACACACACACACACACACACACACACACACATACTCTATCTCTCTCTCTCTCTCTCTCTCATTGAAACACACACACACACACACACACACACACACACACACACATACACACATTTTGACACACAAGACGTAACGCATAGACACACGTGTACAGTTGAAGCTCTACGTACATAAGCAATGATGTAATACACACCCACACTCTCCGTACCTCAACTACTCCGTCCCCTCCTCCCCTCGCCCCCGCCCTCTCCTTCTCTCTCTCTCTCTCTCTCTCTCTCTCTCTCTCTCTCTCTCTCTCTCTCTCTCTCTTTTTGTGTGTGTGTCTCTCTCTTCATTTCTCTTCACCACAAATACACACTCACACTAACACACTTACATAGACACGTGCACCGTCACACAAACACACACACACGCACGCACACGCGTGTCTCCTAGCATCATCGTCAGGGTTTGAGCTAAAGAGCTAATCCCCCCCGATTGTATTCAAAGCTCAAGCTTTGTCCGACCCACACGCGACTCGATCGATAGTCATGGCGTTACTTTTCAATAAACGAGAGCCTTCTTTTTTTAAAGAAAAGAAGACTTTTGTTAATCTCTGTATTTCTGAAGCCCAGGAATTTCGAGAAACAAAAGTCTTATATTGTTTTGTTCCGTTTTGCTACTTTGAGGCTATATATTTTTTTTGATTATTTTTTTTTTTTAGGGGGGGGGGGGGGGGGTGGGCTCAGAACTCTCTCGACATCATGGTTTATTTTGGTGAGCTGACGTGGGACAAGATATCGCAAGGTCTTGAAGTTGATTCAGGGTCCTTATGGATGATGCTGGCCTCGTTGTTTACAGAACGTTGGATAGCAGTGCATCTTTAAGAAGGCACATTACTTTATTTTCCATACTTTACCTAGCTGCAAATCCGTACGTTTCAGTTGACAGAGATAAAATGGAGAAGGACTCGGCTACTTCATGTAAGGCTCCGCCATATTCCATTTCGAAATGTGACATGTACACTGAGCAATTGATTTGAGCGTGTAGCAGGTTGCAGAGTTGTAAGTTCCCTGCAAGACTGAGAAGAAAAAACAGAATGACTAAGCCTTCTGTGCCGATGGCTGAGAAGCCATGCGAAATTTCAACCAAAAGAGAGGAAACAGTAAGTAAAAGACAAATCCAAGTTTCATTGTCGCCTTAACTTCTGTGAGTTTTCTGACATGGCAGTGTACTGGTGATTTCCAGCGTCATGCCAGGGATATAGGTCCTGACATCAACAAAATTGAATATGTCGTAAAAAGGATTTAATCACATAGTCATACAAATCTGAATTTTTAAAGAAAAAATTACAAAAAATGAAATGTTTAGAATAGTTCGTAAATATAAATCTGTTTATGTGCTTGTTTGCCTGCTCGTATTATTCCCGTTATTATTTTTTTCAGACATCCTCTCGTCTTAAGTAGATGATTACAGCAATCTCAAAAGAATCCCAAAAGAAACCAAGTCAGATCTGTTTCTTCAAAATAAGGCCTATGTCAAGTCACTTTTTACTTAGAAGCGGCTGACCTCTGTGGCGACATGGCGGCCCCGGACTTCTGGGGCAGTGGGCCAGAGCCGGATGTACGCAGGAGCAAGAGTCTTGTGGAAGAGGAGCTCTTGATCAAACTGGGAGCCAAGAAGGAAGTTGTAAGTGGGCGTGTTCAAACCATATAATTTATGTCCAGCGCTCTGATCTAAGTGCTTTTGCTGGATATTTTATTCTGCTTCTTTCATAGGGTCTGGCAAAATGCCCAGACAGGAGAGAGAGAGAGAGAGAGAGAGAGAGAGAGAGAGAGAGAGAGAGAGAGAGAGAGAGAGAGAGAGAGAGAGAGAGAGAGAGAGAGAGAAAAGGGATTTGGGGGGGGGGGGAGGGTGGGAGAGGGGGAGGGGAGAGCTACTGATTTTTCATTTGAGTTCGGATTGCTTTTTTGGAAGATTTGAATGATGCCTAACCAAATACTCGTACTTGTATTATTGTTATCAATTTGAGAGCTACTTTTTAATTCTTTTTTTGTTGTAATGGGTTACTTATCTCAACAGAACTTTTAGTTTTGTACGCGTAACAAGTGATTAAAATGAGACTTGGTATATCCCTTTTGTGTTAACGCAAAAAGTGAGAAGCCACTGATATTACAAATAATATTGGAGAAACGTTTTGGGCTTCAAGCTGTTGCCATTATAAATTGGAGTTGACGTACTAGTCTGTGAATCCTTTAAACAAGAATGTACCCCCGGGGCAGTGCCACTGACTGAAGTGTGTTTAGGCCATTCCCAAAGGGGGGACATTTCTAGTTCAAGCATAGTAGAATTGTAAATGGGCTGACTCATGTCAATCTCATAACTGTGCCTGATCTACTACAGGGAACTGCTGCTTTTTCTTTCCTAATCCTTACTATTGTCATTTTCCTCTACTTCTTTTGTATGTTTGTCACTCTCTTGTGACCTGCTATTTTGGGGTGCCTTGATAGTCGAAGCAGACCTTGCACTGTTGAAGCTAGAGAGGTGAGCAGTCTAAGTCTGATTCCCTGAAAAGACTTCTCTGTTGACACCCACCCCTTGGCGCTCTCTCTATGCAGTTGCGAGCGCCGTAAAACCTTCTACTTAAAAACAACAGCAACAAAACAAGAATGTCAAGCAATTCTAAGAGCCAACATCTTTGAAGGAGCTGACCTTGTTTGTATGTCTTAAAGAAGATGA